CAGCAAAGGTTTGTATTATCATTTAAATCTTACTTAATAAATCTGCAATGGAGCAGTGGTCACTGTTAGTATAACACCTCCTTTTCTACCCTAAGAAGAGTTAATTGTTTCGCCTCCCTTCATGCTTTCTCACCTCATACAGCCTGTCAGTTCCTTAGCTATTGACAAACTCTAATCCTGCGCATAAATTAACAGAAGAGAAATATGGAGGAAAGAAGCTGCGTGTTGAGCCGTGTTGGGAGGGGGAGGCAGGTTCTTTCAACAAACACGTAAATGGCACATAATGTACACAGGTACTATGCTAGGTACCACCATTAAACAAAAATTGAGTAACACGCCATGTTCTTCCACGTCTCAGCACCTTGTATATTTCCTTCCCTTTGTCCAAAAGCACCTGCCCCCCACTCCACCCAACAGTCCCTGCAGCACAGCGTGCCTGGGCTCCTAAACTCAGTCATAGCCTCCCTTTATGTGCTATCAGAGCTTCCTGTAGTTCTCAACATAATTTACTTTAAGTAATTATGTAGTCTCTCTTTCCTTTAGATGATAAGCTCCAGGAAGAGAGTGCTCATGTTATCTTATTCACAGCTAGATCCCTGGTACCTACTCCAGAATACAGTAGCAGCTAGCAGTAAGGACTTGTTAGATTAATGTATCAATAAAAAAATGAAGAAACAGTACATCTCCGACTCAAAGTGTTTACGATCAAACAGGAGAGAAAGGTGAAGAAAAAATCATTTACCATTCAACGTCACGAATGTAGTAATACAGACATTGCAAGGGACGACGGGAACCTCAGTTTTAACACTAATTCTGGTATGAGGGAAGACTCCCCAAAGGAGGTGATGGATAAATCTTAAAGGTTGAAAATTTGGGGCAGGGAAGGAACTTTCAGAAGAAACAAGGTGAGTAAAGGCAAAAGTTTCCACCTGCGATACAGGGAGTCATTCATTAGACTGTTGGCCGTAGGGGTGTAGGGTTCATGGGAAAGTTCTAATATCCTTGCTCACTGATACTCTCGATACTATCGATAAAGCAGCGAGGTCAGAATGATATCCTTATTCTTAGTGAACTCAAGAAGATCCTGACTGCTTACATTTAATTTTCTCTGTAAACATAGGCTATGCTAATAATCTCTTATAGAATAGACAGCAAATAAACAACAGTCACTTCTGAACTCCTCCCTTTTTTTCCTTTTTTGGAGGGAAATCTGGACAGTGCCCTATCTCTGAGATAGACATCTCCAGAAACCCTCAGAGTGTGCTGAAAGCTGGTCTGCAGTCATAGCAGCAAGTTCTTAGAACAAGCCTGAGTGATCTGAGTGTTTTGGAAACATCCAGAAATATGTGCTATGCATAACCATAGTTATTATCAATTGCATTAATAATAGCATTAGCTAATATTATTTACTATTTATTACATACCAGATACCTGTTAACTCTTTGCACCATGAACTTTGATCTTCAAAACAACCCAGTGAAGTGGGTACTGCTCTTATGTCATACAGATGAAGAAATTGCACAGAGAAATTAAGTAACTTGCCCAAGGTCACTCAGAAAACAAACGGTGAAGTATGAACTCAATCTAGGCAGTCTGTCTCCAGAGCCCACACTTTGCAGCTTCCTCCCATTATGCAGCGGTTTCTCCTGAAAATTTAATGCTGCTTTTGGAGCCAAGAGCCTCATACTGTGCTTTTTCAGACATCTCACAGAATTCAGAAGTCAAAGTTGGAAAGGTCCTGGGAGAGGGAGAAAGTCTGGTCACTATTAGTACTACTGGAGAAGATGCTCTTAGAACAACATCAGTATTTCCAAACAACATTATGCATACCACTGGTGATATGATAGATGACTTTGAATATGCATGGACAAACATTTTCATTTTAATAGCTATGTATATTTAAAATATGTTTTAGATGGATATTATCCTAATGTGCATGTATGCTAATAAGATAATTATTGTAATCATCTTTTTAATTTTGAGAGATATCAAAAAATATAAATAGGCAAATAATATTATAGTAATAACTTATACAGCCGTGATTCAAGGCAGAAGTTATTTTATTTATTTACCGACTTATTCATTCAACAAATATTTATTGAGCACCTCATATGGATCAGCACTGTTCACAAATACAGAGACAAACAAACAAAAATCTCTGCCCTTTCATAGCTTACATTCTAGTGGGGAGAAACAAATTAAAAAAAAAATTGTAAAGTGCAGGGGCCGCCCTGTGGCGGAGTGGTTAAGTTCGAGCGCTCCACTTCAGCAGCCCAGGATTTCACAGGTTCGGACCCTGGGCACAGACATGGCACTGCTCATCAAGCCATGCTGAGGCGGCGTCCCACATAGCACAACCAGAGGCACTCACAACTAGAATATACAACTATGTACTGGGGGGCTTTGGGGAGAAGAAGAGAAAAAAAAATTTAAAAATTATAAAAAAAATTTTAAGTGCAAATAAATAATACAGTATATTAGAAGACAATACATACTATGGAAAAATAGAGATAGTAAGAGAGGGGATGGCAATGGAGAGAAGGAATGAAATTATAAAATTAAAAATTATTCCAAATAAAGTTGAAGTATCTGTTATACTGAAAAATGTATGATTTTGCTTTAAGTTCCTTTCTCTGAGGATACTCTCTTTACCATACCAACTTTCATTTATGTTCTGCTGAAGCCAGAGACAAATTTCATTTTAAAGGAAACAAATAACCAATAATTAAAGTAAACAAAAATAAATACTACATAAGTAAAGTAAATATCTAAAGAAAACTATTATTAAATAATGATAACAATGCTGCATGGTAAAAGCAAAATATGGGACAGTAGTATTTGAATGGTTAAATTGGGGAATTGTTCAAATAGGGAACACCAGACAACTTTCTCTCCCCCAATTGATTCTGCTTGTGTTGATGGGAGGAGAGAAAACTAGAATCACTCACCCCAACCAAGTCAGCTCTTGATGCTAAAGATGAAATGCTCCCTCACAAGGCCAGTGGGAAGGATTCCGTCACCTAAACGTGTCTGAGCTTCTACAACCTGCAGCTTTCTTCTGCTTGCTTACGTACCGCCTCTGTGGAGACAGCCGAAGATGAAATATGGAGAAGAATACAAAAAGAAGCGAGATCATCACACCTATTCCTTTATGTTACCTGACTACATTTAGGCGAAGCTGATGTGGAAGTGTGTGCAGACTGTGTGACTGTTCAGGGAGGCAGGGGCCGTTATCCATACAGAGCAGGATGCAGGCTTTCCCTTGGAGAGGACCAGAAGGCCATGCCAAGGCTGCAGATGAGCTGCGACCCTTTCCTCACCCACCTAATTACCTTCAAGTGAGTTTTGTTAGAGTAAGGCCCTGGCATCAAGCGTGAGCCTACGCAGGAAAAAGTCCTCTTACATTTTAATATTAATTACTTAAGAATGAGTTACAAATAATTATAGATAACATTTATTGAACACTTACTATATGCTAGACATCATTCTATTTCATTCTCACAATGACCCTATGAGGTTCTATGATTATTTCCAAAAACATAGGTTCAGGGAAGTTAATTCTGTGTCCCAAATCATATCTATAGTAAATAACGGCCCCAGAAATCGACCCCAGGCTGTCTGACTCTGAAACTTGTACTAATCCCATTTGAATCTATAAATAACCCTATAGGTTAACAATGGAGTATCTCCATTCCATGGAGGAGCGGCAGAAAACTGTAATGGTTAGGAGAGCAAATGTTAGTGTTAGAAGAGTCAGACTTTCCATTCTGGCTCTGCCATTTATTAGCTGTGTGAATCTGGGAAATTTCTCTAACTCCTTTAAGACTTACAACATCATCAACGGTCACATTTTAGAGAACTTTTAACTCTCAGGGCATCCCTTTCTTCGCCATCATCATCTTCATCACAATTATTATGTAGTGTTTTCTTACCTTAATTTTTTCCCTTTTCTGAAATTGTTGTGCAATTCCCTTAATCCCTTGGATTGAGAAGCGGCTACAATGTACTCCTCCTCCTAATAGTAATAATAGTAAACAGCTATTGTATGCTTACTACATGCCAAGTGCTTTTAGTGCCTTATCTCATTCACTCTTTACAACTACTGCATGAGATAAATACTAGTGTCATCTATAATTTATAGTTAGAAATAGAATTTACCTAGGACTCAATACTACTGATTTCACTTCCTTTTTTCCTACCTACACTGGCTGGGAACTCCAAGAGCATCCATGAAAATGGCATAGAATTTCCCTCAGGAAATGGAACACTCCAGGAGTTTGACACTGAAAGGGTTTGGAACCATCCACCAACTGGTGCTACCGAGAATTGTGGTTGCTCAAGGAATTTCTGTTTCCTCTGTTTCCTCTGTTCCAACTTCCGTTTCCACAGGGGAGTACCAAATACCTCCAGGTCCTCTTCTAAGAGCAGGAGCTGGGAAAACAGTGAGACGAAGTGACTCACCTGAGAAGAACAGAGAGGAGTGCCAAGGAATAGAACAGACTTATTTCATTACACAGTCCAGCCACTCACCTTGCTTTTAACACCTTGAGTGGCATCGTGTTAAAGACGCCACAAAGGAGAAACAATCAAAATAATAATAATCTCCTATTATACGACATAATTTTCTCCACATTTGCCATTATTTTTTCTGATGGCAAATTTAATATTTTATTGGAAAACCGCAGAAAATGAGAAAAATAATTAAGCTATTTTATATGTTTCAGTCTAGATTTCAATTAAATTTAAATTAATCTCTTCCCTTGCCTGTACACCTTTGCCCCATTTTTAAAGACCTGAGCGCGCGGTAGGGGAGACCAAGAGCATCCCAGAAGGCAGCAGGACAAATTCACTCTCGTCCAGACCCTGCAGCTCCTTTCATCCATCTCCCCTCCCCCTTAGTCTGGTCGCCTACCATTGGTCATTACCATGACAACCAGCAGCTGCCGGGGCAGGCAGCCTCTACCGCAGCAGGGGTGGGGCCGTGGGGGAGGGGGCGGGAGAGGAGGAGCCAGAGGAGGTGTCTGCTGCAAGTTCCTGGCTGCTTCTGAGCTCACCCCATCCTCCGAGAGGGAGGAGGCCAAGTGGTGATGCTGCTGCTTCTGCCTCCTCGACTGCTGATACTCTAGTGGAGCTGGAAGGGTGGTTCCTATTCGCACCATCGCCAACCAGAGAGGGAGGGAAAAAAATCCCAGCAGCCGCTGCTGATGTTGGGTTCGGAGGCTGCATCCGACTCGGTCACAAGGAAAATGGATTCAGTTTGCATCTCTCCCTCCTTTCAACAGCTTCTCCGGGTCTCAGCACGGTAAGTAGGAGACGGCGGGGCTGTCTTCTTGGTTTAGCTGGCTATTAAATGACCTGTGTATACATTTATGGCCTGCACTTGAACAATGACTCCCTCAGAGCAGGACAGAATGATGTGGAGACAGAGATGGGGATGGAGGGAGAGGAAGGTTGCCAGGGAGAGAAGTAAGAAGGCATCTGCTTGTGTTAAAAAAAAAAGAAATGGTGTTCTGATTTTATCTTGAACTGGCTCAGAATGCAGACTGAGCCACTTGCTTTTCCTTACAAGCTTGGCAACAGAACTGGGTGGAAAAAGAGCTAACAAGAAATGGGTGTTATTGAAAGGAATCATTTCATTTGCAGCGCTCACATATAGGGTTGGGCCTTCCTCAAAAACACATTTGGTGCCTCATAAGCTTTCCGGCCTGATTATAAGGTGGTTTTGCTTATTTCCTTCATTGCTAAGAAAAGGTTGCCCCAGAATTTTGCGTTCTGTTTTCATATTCTAATATACTCTTGTTGAGATACCATTTGCAAGATACAGAGTTTCATTTTTAGTGCATAGATTTGATTGTGAACATATAAATGTATACCTATGGATAAGCATATCATATATACACGTTGCTTAGCACTTATAATGCATTTATGAAACGTATCTATATGCAGAATGTGCTTTGCAATCATTTTTATGGGTTATAAATGCCCTTGCATGCTTGGAGGTAATTGCATATTTTTGAAACTATGCTTCTGGTTTGTATTACTATTCATTGGCTTCATTTGGATTAATGTGAGATTTATTCTTGTTATTGTCCCTTAGTTTCGTTGTGACCAATTAGGACAGATGCGTGTCATTTAATCTGTATCATAGCCCTAGATGTGAATTCATAGCCTGCCTCTTTTCTTTATTTTTGATTGGGTTTGTGGGGGGTGATTTGAGAGCCCTGAATTTACACTGATGGGAAAGGGAGGTGGCTTGTGGTATTTTTTGTGCCCAGCATCTTGCCAAATGAATGTTGAAACAAATCAGTTTTCTTGACATTCTACCCCAACCCTTTCATGTTTGGACCTTGTGTCCCAGGAAGCACAGACGAGCTGGCAGGTGAAATGCGTTCATTTTATTTAATAGTGCTGATGTTTGCTGTTCATTCCTTCAGTACCCAGGCACCATTTTACAGTCCTCTCAAATGTTGTATTAGGGGTCTACTTCTTTAGGTGGTTAAGTAGGAAAGTGGGATTGTTTTGAAAATCTAGGTGTTCCCAAGTACCCTAGCCATTTCCAAATTAGCCTCCTTATACAATGAAATGGAGCAAGAGAGTGAGCAAAGCTTAGAACAAGAATGTGTGTGGCTTGTAGCTGAAATGAGGAGCTATTGTAGTTTGCAAATGCTTACTGGGGCTGCCTGACCTTTTATTATGTCAAGGCTTTAAGGCAGCTCAGGAGACTAAAGATGCCTGAGATGAGTAGGGTACAGGGCTCCATTACCACCCAGGATAATGGATTTCATTGAATTAAAGCCAGAAAAATCCCTGCATGTAAAAGTGTGTTAGGAACATTATATTCATCACATGGACCAGCTTTATCCATCTATCTCTTCTCTAACAATATCATTGTCAGTGCAAATAGGTTTTACGATGTAAAATAACAGTATTTTTTGTTTTAAGCTTGCATTTTATTTTACACACTGCCCCCTTCATTTAAAATTTTTGCATGCATTTCAATCAGATTTATAGTTTAATTTCTCTGAGAATAAATGGCTTGTTTAGTTTATATATGGGAAAGCTTTTCAGCGACTTAATGGGAAGAATGGATTTAATATGCTCATGGAATGTCGTATATTATACAGAGTCCCAACTCTGTAAAGTCATGCTTCCGTGTGCCTAATTATAACAACTACTTAAAGTAGAGCACAGAAAGAGGTACTGAGCTTGTATGTTATATCAAAATTTTGCTAACACACTGTGTCCTGAATCTTTTGATGATAACTTTTGACTTCCAAAAATTAAAATTTCAGATATATGTACAGTAAGCTTTGAAAATGAAGACGCACTGTAGTTGACACTGTTTCATGCAATGAAAACAGATATCTTGGGACTTTGTTTTATTTCCTTTGTGTTGAGTTTTCACTGGGATGTGGTTTTATAGGTGAAGTTGGTACAATTTTGAGCAGAGGCAAATCACTGTAGGCCATGGGCACAGAACTATCAGTAGCATGTTTCAGCTAAGTGGTTAGACTTTGATGGGAATACAGGTCTAGTTTTTGATCCCACAGCTTGAGACAATTATATGGCCTTTGCTGAGAGGCTGCAGAAAAGTGAAGTGTGTTTAAAGGACTACAAGTTGAACTCTCCAAGAAAAGATAAGCAAACTAGGATTATTTCATTTGGAGAAGAGAAAACTGAGAGATGATAATCGTTTGCTTCAGAAGAGCTGAAGGTTTTTACATGTTGGAACCTAAAATATGGTCAACAGGCTTCACCTTTTTTAGGAAGAATGAAGATTAGAAATACGAAACGTGGAACTTCCTGATAGCAAATTTGAGTTGTCAACTGGGTAAACAGACCAGGCAGTGCATTCTTCTTTTATCAAAACCTCCAAAAGTATGACCTAGACATGCATTTATTTGGGATGGACTAGATTCTTTCTCAAGAACTTCTCTAGCTTTTTCTAGAGTAAATTGTCTGTTTAAGAATGTGATTTAGTTGTTTAACATCAGGTTCTTCTAACCCTATAACAGTAAGACTCCATTTTGTAATGGGCCTCTAAATTACAGAATGTGGATAATTTTAAAGAAATCAATTGACCATCTGCTTGGAGAAATTTATATGTCATCTTGTCAGGATGTGGAGTACTGAACACAGGCCTCTTCATAAGAGTCCTTTCTCAGCAACTATATGGAATGTGATGCCTACTAGCCATATTAAAATTATTCCTTTTTGTATGGCTAATTTTGAAAAGTGAAATGGAGTTTAGTGGAGTCCAGATACAAAGTAATTCAAGAGTCATCAAGGTGATGTAAGAAAAAGCAAAATGTATGAAAGATACATACAATGTATCTTTAAGCCTGTTTCCACTGGTTTAAAATAATTGTTTATTTTAAATATGCTGTTTAACAAGAAACATTTTATTAATTACTTTTTTCTCAAACACTAACTTGAAAATGTCATTCTTGTTGGAATATTAAATATTTGGACTGGTGTTTACACTTTAGTAAAACTTGTTTAATTGGAGTAAAATACCCATTGTCTAATTTCTCACTTTGTGATGGGATATTTCTTAGTTCTTCAAGTGACTTCAGAAAATATTTCAATTTTATGTACATGCTTCATCCACCAGGATGACTTAGAAAATATCTGGAGGGTTAAAACTGTTTTCTGCATTTCTCATAGGTTCATAGAAAGATTAGTGCTTTGTTTTCCATGGTTGGAGCCTAAAAGAAAACCAGATTTGTGATGGAAGTTTCAACATAAATAACTCAACAGTTGGTTTTCACTGAAATAAATAAACTAGATTTATACTTGAGTATTACTCTGAGAGGTCATTTGCAATTCCCCCTGATTGCACATCCCAACTATATTATTTTACCAAGTGAAAACGTGTTTTCAAACTAGATGAATTAATCAATTGGAAAACAACTGTTTGTAGAGCTCTTGTAGGACTAGCACAATTTGCATATGCAAGCAACATAAAATTTCCGTGGGGAGTATAAGATATACACACATGAGATCGTTAATGATGAAAACAATATAGTTGTAATTAGTACCATCATTTACACCTTAAATTAATATAATCTTTTGTAGTTTTTAAAGTCATTTTACATTCTTTATGTTTCATCTTATATTCCCCCAAATTCTATCATGCCAGTAAAGCTATTGTTATCATAATTATTTTAAATAAGTGGAAACAGGCTTAGAGAGGTTAGACTTATCCAAGTTTAAGTTTAGTAAATGATCCAACCAGGCCTGGATTCTGAATCTCATGAGCCCAAATCTGCCATATTAGAAAATTTAACAAATTATCTTGCTGATTTGAATTTTAAAATATCAAATATAGTAAATCTGTGTTGAATATGGCTCATTTTTATTTGAATTTTTGTCGACTGTTTTGTATGCCATGATTTGCTCTTTAGTCACAGTGAATTGCCAAATAGACTAAGTGTATGCTTTGGATATCAGCCAAAAAAAAAAATGGTGCACACAAAAACTATTTTGGAAAAGATCTGGGATTCTTGATATTTCAGAAAAGCATAGAAGCATTTGCCTGGGGAAAAATCCAAACTTTGTTGGACTGATTTGTGCTTATTTTATGGCTAAGTATTGTTTTTATTTTTAATGACATGCAGGTTGGGAGCTATCATAATTTTTTCTATGCTTAGGACCAAATTAAGATTCCTATAGGTCCTGTACCTTGAAAAAAACTTAGCCATACCTCCTACCTCTGTGTCCTAAGCATCTCTCCACCTAAGCATTCTTACAAATAAAAATGATATTAAATCATAAATAAGTGTATCAGTTCAACAACTATCTGATATTTCCCCTGGACAGATACTCTTACACTTTTCTGAACTATCAGTGTCAAATACTTTTCTTCAAAATATTCTAATTTTTGGGTGTCTCCCTTTCTTTGCTAAAGCCCGGGCACATACTTTATCTGACTGGTAGTTCAGTGTTGGCCAAACAGCAAATCATGCCATGTGAATTATCATTCTACATTTAGGAAGTGTCTTTTGTAATTAGCTATCTTGCAGTACAAGTGAGACCTGTCACACTAAAGACATTCTGCTTTAAATCAATATTCACGAATGCAATTAAATTTTATCTTTTAAAGGCTTTTTTCACATTTAAAAAATACATCCTCCCTGTGAGGAAAAAAAAGAATAATACAGAAATGTATACAAAGAAAATCACCCATAAGCTGACCAATGAGAAATAATTACTCTTAGCATTTTGGAATATTTCCTTCTAGGTTTTTTTCTATATGCCGATGTAAACACACTCTGACATACGCTTTCATAAATGCAACCA